GGGGCGGGGCCGCGGGCGGTGGGTGACGGCCCAGTCGCAGGCCCCGCGGCCCCCGCGCCCTTTTGTCCCTCCCGGGCTCTGCAGCCCCGGCCCCGGAGCTGCTCTGCCCCGGAAGAAACGGCGCCGCTTGGGCCGCTGCCGCCCAGACGCCCTGCCTTGCCCTCGGGCTGGCCTGGCCGCCGGTGGCCGGAGAAAGCCCCATTGTGGCCCGAGCGCGCCCGCGGCCAGCCGGGATTTCTCGCAGAGAGAGGCCTTTGTTCGCCCTCGCCCCATCTGACTGCGCCGGTTTCTGGTCCAGCCTCGTCTGCTCGCCAGGCCCCTACCTGGGTTCCTGCTGTGGTGGCCCAGAGCAGGTGGCAGTAGGGGGCGTTTTTGTCCCCCTCCCCTCTAGTCTCCCAGGAAATCTCTGCGCTTGGCAACCTGCCTCGGGGGAGGAGACGCTGGGCCTGCTCACTGCACCCTGCTCCCGTCCCTGGTTCCCTCCTCCACTGCTGTCCCTGTCCCTGGCGTTTGTCCTGTGTGACATTCACCTCCACCCACACTGCTGGGGGAGAGGCTGGGACTGCAGTCAGGCCAGGCCACCCCTGGGTGAGGGCAGTGGGGGCAGAGGGGTGCAGCGACCACCCGGGAGATAAGGCCCAGACCTCATGCCACCATGCCCCTGTCCTGCTCTGCCTCTCCTTGTCCATCTGCAGGCTGGGGGTAATCCTAACCTTGATGGAGGACCTTGCTTGTCTTGTTCAAGTTCGGTGTGGTGGAGGCTATCTGTGGGAGGTGTTTTTCCTCACCAGACTATTTTTAAAGATACTACTAAAATACAGATTACCAAAACCAGATTTGTAGGTGAATCCCATTTCTACACTGGTTGACATTTAAAATTTAGAGATGCAAAAGAATATTTTTTAATCCAGGGAATTGGGAGAAGTACTGACAAATATGAATGCCTCGGCTCTTTCCAAAGCCCATAATTAAGGGAAAGTTCTGGTTATGTGCAGACCATTCACAGACGAGCTCATGTAGGAGTGGGCTCTTTGTGGCTGTGGGCAAACATCTACCCCATCTGGAGTCCCAGCCTGTTTTTGTGCGAGAGCAACTTTTATCTGCTGGGGAACCTTCAGATGTAGGAGGGATGGAGGTTCGGGCAGTGCCACCTGCAGTGGGGGACCCAGGGGAGTCAAAAGGGACAGGCTGCCTCGAGCTCCTCATTCCCCCTCTGTGAGGGAGGGGTGGGGCAGAGCGGCCTGCTGGGAGAGGTCTGGGGCACTGGATGAGAAAGGCCTCTCCAACATGCGATCGGGACTGGGCCTTTCTCCAGGATTGATCAGACTCCCGGGAAACAGAGACCTTTCTTCTGTGGCCTTGGAAGTGCAAGCCTGTGTGCCTGGAGCCTCCAGGAGCCACATTCCCTGCAAGGAGCAGAAGCCTGGAGAAGAGGCAGAGTCACCATGGGAGGCAGAGGAGACAAGCAAGTGATCGAGTCCCAACAGCTTGGAGTCCCTGACACCAGGCATCCCCAAAGCCAGTTTCTTCCTAGCCCTTCCTGACCGAGCCCATCAATCTTTTTTGTGGCTAAGCTACTTCACGTTGAGTTTCTGTCATTTACGATTAAGTGACTCCTGGCCAATACACAGACAATGCAGAAGACCCCAAGGAAGGAAGAAAACTTAATTTGTCACATGCCCACTGTTAAATGCTGTTTTTTAAAATATGCATTATTGATCACAGCATCTCTGTGAGGCAAATGAAGACCCATTTTGCAGGTGAGGAAACTGAGGTATGTGGCCACAAAGGCCTTCATCTAGGACCATAGTGTCCACTTGTGCAGGACTTCACAGTGTGGGCCAGCTTTCTTCCAGGTGCAGGCTCACTGGGCACTGCCTGTCCCGAGGTCCCTCAGCCAGTCCCTGTCCCTGAAGACCTTTGCCATGGCTGGGTCCTTCTTTGAGGACTCTGGGCCTTCTGAGGTCTGAGTCTTGATCACTGTTACAT